TGAATTTGATTTTTCATAATGATTACTCATTGCAATGAAATATGTTCATTAGCCAATTTGGTGTTTAAGTCCAACATATATAAAGTATTGTTTATACATTTTGTTTATTAATTGTTTCCTCTGTTCAGCTCTTTGCCAATTTATGTAATTGTAATACACAAAGAAATTTTGTACACGATTCTGAGATATTTAATATATAGCTCATCCCGCCGAGTCGTGTCAGAAACTAAAGAAAATGAACATTGGAATCTAATTCTGATTGGTTGATTTTCTCTTCCTACAGAAGAATAAGTTGGTCCTGCGGCAGCAAGTTTTATTGCTAATGTGCAGGTTAGTGTCAACCAAATCAAGAAAGAAACAATAAATCCGCCTTACGATCGATCATTCCTAAACGTTTCCCTGAGTTGCTCTACTATAACAAAAGGTTAGATAACTTGTAATAATAGTCGGCGGGAGCAGAGCTGTACAACGCGAAGGACGACAAGTTTTTTTGTGAATGCATGAATCTTCGAATAATTTGCACTTCTGAGCTCGACTATCTTCGGCTTTGATAAGAATGAGATACAAAAACAATTTCAAATTTATTAAAGAATTTAGTAGTCAAATAGAAAGATAACTTTGAAACATCTCTCTTATATATACTTCTCTAAATGACAATTTATATAGCACTTTTCTCAAACTGTTATAGTTTATATATTTGTACGAAATACTATCACGATTTATTTATATGCTACAATTTTAAATTATTTTTGTTATCATATATCAGAAGTTTGTGTACACTTCCATAAAATATGCTCTAAATTATATAGATGTTTTATAGCACATTAAGAATATTACTGTTTACTTTTATTTTAATAAAATTAGAATTGATAATTGAAGAAATCGAGCAAGGAAGTCGTGGAATGGTAAAAGAGCTTGAGGGTTTTATTTAAAATCAATGAGACATGATGTATGTAAAAGGGGGAGGGATATCAATAGAAGGCCTCTGGTCCTTTGTGTTACAGCAAATGGCTAGTCAACGGAATCAGGTGCAAAGACAACAGGCTCTCGCCCTCATGTGCAGGTTTGTTTGTTCTTTGTCTTAGCCCTCGAAACTTTGTGCGCAACACTTGTCATTGTAGTACAAGAGAATTATACTCGGAAATTTTATTATTTTTAAGACATACTTTTTATTTCATCTTTTATATATATTTTTAGCGACTAAGTCTATTAATAAAGTATATTATGTTAAAGATTAATTTTTAGATTTCTTTCTTTTTTTTTTTAAACTCTAACAATACCGATAAGGTCTTTAATCAAATTTAAAAGTACAGAAATTCGTTTCTTTTTTTAACTTTTAGTGTTATTCACATTACTATCAAGCATTCTAATAAAGATATATCGTTATATATACATATATATATATGTATATATATATGTATGTATGTATGTATGTATATATATTAATTAATATATATGTATATTATGTTACATTTGTACACTAGTATTAATTTCTGTTAATAACAACTTTGTTATATCATGGTCGTATTATAATATATATCCTTTACTTGTATAATTCTTGCATATTTTATATATTTAAACAATTATTTAAATATAACATATATTAACATTTTTTGATATTATCAATAGTTTCAAAGATATTCGCGATTATTTATTTCAAATGGGATTTCAATCATTTTCAATA